TAATTGCAATTGTTAGCTTCACCTCTTCCACTATTTTTTTTTTTCAATTTTCCAATTTTTAACTTCTGCGTATCACAGGTCTATTAATGTTTTTTTTTTTCCTTTCCTTACCTTCGCCTTGCCGCGTGATCCATTTTCACTAATCATGATAATCTTTTGTTGCTTATTTTTAGTTCACCATAGCACACCACTCACATTTACCCTTAATATAATATAGAATTGATGGTGATTGTTATGCTTACAACCAAGTGCTTCCCGTTTAACGAACACCTGTTTAAAGGAACGGCATACATTTCAATGTAAAATGAATTTTATTTTATTTTTTCTTCACGAAATATCTTTGCGAAATTTCAGCTTTCTGTCTTGTCTGGTTCCCGAGATCGCTTACCCAGCCAAAAAATTTGCACAAATTCCTTCGTTGGTTTCCGAGTTAGCAACTTACCCGCCAGAAATTTTGACGGGCCCGTACATGGGAACCAGGCACACCTCGGGGTTGGGTTTAAACTCATTAAGTTTCGCGTGTACGAGGAACATCCCCTTAAAATTTCAGTGGCTCAGAATTTTTCTAAATATTAATATTTTTTAAATTTTCCGATCATTCTGCGTTTCTTAGGACGCCGGCTGGCTGGACGTGATTCGTTGAATCGTGGCAGTCGTCTGTCCGGTATCAATGTGAGCGGTGCAAGTGGCCCACTTTCGCTGGATAACGATTCCATCAATGAGCTAGCAACAAGTACAGCATTCTTCCCGGATCTGGATTTCACGCAATCCGGTTATCTGTACAAGAAAAGCAACAAGAAATTGCATAAGCAGTGGCAGAAGCGTCGTTGTCGAATTGAAGATGGCCATTTTTGGCTTTCACATTCCGACGTAATTTTGATATTCATATTTTGAGTAAAGGAATTTTTTTTTGGCCATTTTATACTAATTTTTGGGAGGTTCTGATTGTTATGAAAGTATGTATTTTTTTTTTCCAGGAAATGATTCCACCAACGAAATTAAGTTTATTGGTTTCGGACTGTAAGCCATCGGCCGATGATCCAAAATCTTTCGATTTGTACTGTCGTGAGAGAACATATCATTTGCAGGCAGACTCTGAAACTGACGCG